GAGCAATCACCTTTTCAGGGCTCACTGGAATTAAATACACGTCGTACAAGATCCATGCAGAAGCTACATGCTGCTGGTGTCCCTTGCGGACCCACCTTTCCTCATACCATTGTGCTTCCACTTTTATATCTAAAAGATTTTACAAAGCATCAGGGAATTTGAATTCTATAACTGCATAGTAGGCCATGATAGTTATTTTTATTATTGCTGATAATGGCGTGGTCAATACAGGGCATCATTAGTCAACCTACTTCCTTGCATTTTTTAATGTTGTAGGTATTACAAAATGTTTTCATATACAGGGCTTCATTTGACTCTCAGGATAATTCGGTGGTGCCGTCATATCCAATTTATACATGAGGAAACAAGTGGTTTTTAGGTATTTCAACTGGCTAAAGCATTTGCCCTGCGACTTGCATGACAGAGCTAGAAAAAGAAGGCGAGACTTCCAGCTGCTAATAAGTGCTTTTCCTACCATGCTTCATTGCCTCCTGGGCTAAAATGAAAAGAGGGTGTGTTTATCACATGAAGAAATCTGGTTTGAGTTTACCAAATATGTATTTGTAGTATTTGGTGGCCTGCCTATGTATTTAACCTATAATGATTTTGGTTATAACAGTCTAACTCCATTTTAAAAAATAAAATATTTTAAATGTTTCTTCTTTCTAGTAGCAAAACTACTACGATGTGTGGCCATTTAAACTTAAATTTTAATTAATTAAATAAATAAAATGTTCTTCAGTTGTGCAAGTGATATGTCTAGTGTTCAGCCCTCACAGGTGGTTGGTAGCTGGACAGTGCAGATTACACCACATCTCCACCAGCACAGAAAGCTCCACTAGACAGCACTGTTAGACAGTGTCCTCTCCAGAGAAAGACTTTAGAAAAAGTCAGAAACATCTTGAGGTAGATATAGTGTTATCATTTGCCCAATATTAGATAGTTTGGTACTACAAAAATATTAGAACAGAGAGGAGAAAGAGAGATGCTTTTATTTAGCTCCAGGTGGATCTACCCAGGAAAAGGCAAAGATAGGCTTGCAGCCATTGTGTTGCATTTGGACAATGAGAAAAAAAAAAAAAAAAAAATATATATATATATATATATATATATATGTAAAATTCTGCATTTCCTGAAGGAGCTATATTATAAGAAAACCAAATAGCTATATTATAAGAAAACCAAGTAGATATGAGGGAAAATGTCCACTTTATAGGAAAAAACACCAGCTAAAACATGTAGGTAAAATTAGGGAATTAGAACTTCATCATTTTGAAACTCCCAATGAAATAATCAGCTCAAGCAAGAAACAGTAATGAACACTAAAACAACTGAGTAAAGGCTGATAAGGAACTGCGTATTCACATAGCTCTGAGTTCACCCTGAGGGGGGCAATAAAGGAAGATACAGGCCATTCCCACCACAGCTCTCTAATCATCTTAGCATCATGAATGATGGGACAATCAGAGATGATGTTTTCCAATACAGTGCAACATGAATTTTCACCAGCACCTATAAAATATTATTGATAGAAAAAAAATGTTGATCTGGAATCTAATTAAGCCTTTAGAACTAATTTCTAGTTCACAAGACAGAACAAAAACAGGGAATAGGATGAAAAATTAAATGACACCATAAAGAAGTAATCAGAAAATTCCAGAAGCAGGGAGGGGACATTCTACAGAGCAACTGACTCAGTCTCTTCAACAAGGCAATTTCATGAAAAAAATAAAGAAGAAAGAGGGTTTGAGGTTAAAAGAGATATAAGATAACCAAATATAATGTGCATTCCTTGACTAGAAGGAACTAGCTATCACAAACCAGTTATAAAAGACATTTCATAATATCTGAGGAAATCTGAATGTGAATAAGAAATGATAAAGAAATGTTTTATTTTTCTTGGGATGATTATGATACTGTGACTATCAATGTTCAATTGAAAACTTTCTTTTTAGAGATCCATACTAAAGAATTTAGAGGTAAAATGTCATTTTCTTCACTATACTTTAAAATACTTCAGTCAAAAAATAAAGATGAAACAAATATAGAAAAAATGTTAACAACCTAGGGTATGGGCACATGGGTCTCATTAATCTTTGTCTCCCCTCTTCAGAAAGTTTGCAATTTTCATAATTTTATAATAAAAATATTTTATGTCCCAAATTGTACAGGTTTTGTCTGAGAATCTATTTAAGACATCATGAAATATTAAAACACAGGTAGTATAGTTTATCATTTGAGCAATTCCATAATCTGCTCTCCTCCAGAAATTATATAATCAAAGAGTACCTGCAACATTTTTACAGAGAATTGCTTTGTAAAATTAACTTCTTCAATGAAAATCAAGATTTTTTTGATAGAAAGAACGCAGCCCACCTAGACAGATATGTCAGTTCAAAGAGAACAAAAGCTATTTTGCTACTAGTTTTCTAGTCTGTTTATGAATACACAATAGGAAATCAAAAATGAACAAGGCACGTGGAATCAAAGTTCATCATTCCTGAGTATAACTCAGTAGACCAAGTCAGGAGGCAAATCATTCTCATCAATGTACTATCATTCAAGACCAATTGGCTCACAGTTATCTAGTCTCTTTAGACCAACTCTGTACTGGAAATAACCTGATTATTCACGTTGCTCTAGCAAAAACCTCTGGGAAGATAAGCAAAATGAGAAAAAAGATTAGTTAGAATTGGCTGTTTGAAATTTTTTCTGAAATATATCAGGTTTTTTAAAATCCACCATCCCTTTCACCCATGCTCACCCCTCTGAGCAGTAGCACTTTTGATTATTTAAAAGATGGTGCATCTATATGCATTTTAATTTGGCATTTTGTTCTCTATAACAACCGCTAAGTTAAAAATTGGACTCTATTTTAAGCATATATTAGCAGATGCTATCTTCTAAAGTAAACTCCATTCTCAAAGTTTATAAACTGTGTTTATCAGAGAAGACCCATTGAAGTAAGAGACTGAAGAGTCTTCATAGAAAAGTGAGCCAAGAAATAATAAGGCATAATAATAATCTGCCCGTGTGAATCAACACTGTAATAAATATTGGACAGGCTACGCTTCTCTCACTCACTAGAAAAATTAGCCCAGGAAGGGATATGAAAACTACTATAGATCTCCCAAGGCTCATTAGTTTCCATCATTCCTTGGGAACAGCTTTGTCAGACAAGAGTAGAAGACTATTTGTCAACCTCTCTCCAAATCCCTGATTTAAGCCATCTTTCACCAATCCCAAGTGAGGAGCCAGAGAGGAATGCAAGTCTTGCATCTCAAACAGCTTCATCTGCTGGGGCTGGGAATCACAATCCCAACACCCAAATCACCCCTGGGCTCTGTTTACCTTAACTGCTTTTGTCATTTGTTTTCAATTCCTCTTTTGCCCTTTCTGAAATGGAGAAGAAGGATTACAATAGAAAAAAAATGAAGCATGGGCAACCCTAAAGATTCTTTTAACAAGAAATCAGGCAATAAAAAGGAGAGCCTGGGGAAGGGGAAAGGGAATACAAATGCCAGAAAATTGTTTAGTTTCACTTTTTACAATGTGCATATTCATTTATACATCTGCAGAGATTTCACTTAAAGAACCGTTCTGGAGGGTGGGGAGGGGGTCTGACTGTATTAACAAGGCTGAAGTTACTTTTTAGATGCTTTCCACAAAGAATTCAGAGACTCCTCAAATTATGTACTCTCCTATAGAAGTCCCTGAGACACTGCTGGGTTTGAAAAAACAGACATTGGGATCTGGGAATATACCAAAGGTGCTTCTAGTTGTAGGATGATGAAGAAGGAGAGTAAAGAACCCATTCTGAGAATCCAGATTGCAAAAGAAGCCTGAAGAGATGGAGGGAGAGGGAGAGGAAATAAGGATGAAAACTGAAAGGGAGAAGAGGCATGAGGTGTTGTCAAACCTGAAAGGGCATCTTGGAGAGAAGCTGACAATTGCTTTGAAAAAGACATTGCCCATCTCACCTCAGACCTTCTAGAGAGATGCCTCCTGCAATTTGAGAGCCTAGGATATATAGTAACAGATTGATCCCCATCCCTACTTAATCAAATTAATCTTGAAATAATTCCACTGAGTTAAGGAACCAAAGATATTAAATACCTTCAGGATCCATACTTGCCAAACACATAAGGGATCAACAACCGGCCGTGTGTGTGTTCTGATACAACACTGTCTCACTTAAATTTGCCAGAGCCAAATTTGAAAATTGCAAATAAAACACAGGGGGGAAAAAAAGAAACAACTATGTTGGTAGCCTACAAAAGAAGTTTGTTGAGGGCCTCCCCAGTGGCGCAGCGGTTGAGCGCTGGGTTGCGAAGCTGCCCACGGCCTCTGCGGCGCCGGTTCGATCCCCGGCTGCTCCCCGGCCACCCAAGGAGGGTCCCGCCTGGCGCGCAGACCTCTCCTGCCGTCCGCTGCTCCCCTCAGCAGTGTACTTCGGTCCTTCTGCCTGCTCTGCTCCCCGCTCTGGCTCTGGTGAATTCTCTCACCCTCTCGCGCTTCTGACTCTACCCAGTGCATGTATAAACTAAACAAATAAATAAATAAAAACATGCCTCTATAAAAAAATAAATAAATCTTTAAAAAAAAAAAAGTCTGTTGAGAGGGAAGGTAATGAAAGCGATGGGAACAAATATTTTCAAAGAACTGGGTAAGAAACCCTTAACAAGGGGAAAAGCTAGCAGGTGCAGGGAGTATGGAAGAGTTGAAGGCTTACGCAGTAGGTTCAGGATGCCCCGAGAGCTCAAAGAAGGGCGGGGAAACCTTAAGGCCTTATGAACTGCGGGTCCTGACAGAGCTCTGGTGTCAGGGTGCGTCAGGGAGGCTGATGCCAGAGGGACGCTGGGACCTGGAGCAGACCTGGGGGAACAGCTGAGCAGGGGTGGGGATGGGGGGCCGGGAGTCGGGGGTCAGGAGGACAAGGGTGAGGAGAGGGGATGGTGGTGGCCGCAAAGTAGGAGGCGAGGAGCCGCCGGGTCACTCACCCCGTTGGCCGCGGCCATCTGCACCACGATCTCCGTGGCGGTCCTGCTGAAGTACCTGCCGTCGCTGCCCACCACCATGGTGCAGCCCTGGCGGTCGCGCAGGTCGATGGATGACAGCACGCTCTGGATGAAGTTGGGCAGGTAGTTGCGCTGACCCTCGAAGAGGCCAGTGGGCCGCCGGAGCCCCCCGCCGCCTGCCGGCCGCTGGTCCTCATAGGGCGCTGTGGGCACCGTCAGCACCGGGATGGGGCTCCCCTCCATGGCGCCTCCTGGCCGGTCCTGCCGCGGCTCCCGGGAGCCGGAGGGAATCTGCAGCCTGCGGGGGGGCCCCCCCACCAGCCTGGCGTCGCGCCCGGACTCCGCCTCGAGCCAGAGCCCCCTCCCCAGCTGGCGTGCGCCCTGCGCCCTCCGGCGGCACGGACCGCGCCTTGCTTTCCGAGCGGCCCCTGGCTGCCTCGACCTTCCAAGAAAGTTTTCTCCCGCCCAACTTTCTCTCCAGCGGGATTGCCCGAGGTGCCCGCAGTTTCTTACCCCAGCTGGATTCGCTTTCGGGGTGGCCCAAAAGCCCGTTCCCAGTGCCAGCTACCCCAAGCCCGGCAACGCCTTCCGGCGTGACTGGTGCAAGCCTTCCCGGGAGATCACTTCGCGCTCAGGCACACCCTCTGCTAGAGCCTGGGGTGGGGAGAGCTTCAGGAGGCTTGGGGTCCTCTCCCCTCTTACCCACAACCCTCTCTCCCTATCTCCCTGGTAGTGAGCAGTTTACTCACACAAGTTTCTCTTTTGAACAAGGACAAGGGAGGGAGTTAAGAGGGGGCTGAAACCTTTTGCCATCAGTGAACAGCCCCAGCCAAAAATAACCCTGGAAAGGCAAGTTGAGAATTGTTATCTTCTGCCAGCGCTGAAATTGGAGGCTGGGCGCTTGTGTGTGTGCATGTGTGCGTGTGTGTGTGTGTACACCCCACTACTAACATTTGTTGCAGGGACTCACATACTGTCAGGTCCTTCAATCCAGTGGGACCCACCCAGCCATCCACTTGCCCAGACTCTCTCAAGGCATACACTTTTCCCGTATGGAAACTTTTTTTTTTTTTTTTTTTTTTTTGCTTGTTTGTTGTGGTGGTTGCAACAGCAGCAACACAGTCACATATTTCTTTATTCTTCTTGCCCTTCTCACTCTCCCTAGCCCGGTTCATACTTAGAAACAGCCTTGCCCCACAATGTTTTTATCCACTCGGCTGAGCTATTAGCAGATTAGTTACCTTCAATAGGAGGAGGGTAAAGCCCTTGTAACAGCCTACCAAGAATGAATGGACCACCTTTAATTACACAAGGACTGGGTACTAGAACTGTACTAGATCCTTCAAGTGCATCCTCTCATTCTGGTGGGACTGGTGATGTTCTGCCTTCTCTCCATAAAGTCTGCCCAAAGTCCAAACCAAGAAGTAGACTATAGAAAATAGGAGTGAGAAAAGAACAGACTAAAAATGTAAAACCCAGAGGGAACAAAATAATTTTTGTTTCTATCTGCTTTCACCCTAAACCATTTTTTATACCCACTAAGAGTGCAGTCTCACAATCTCCTGCTGCTTCTCCTCTCCCCCATACTATCCACTAAGATTGACTTGCTGCAGGGTTATAATATGTTTGGCCATAATAACATGACAGTGAGGAATAGCTCATTCTTCGATGCTGTTTTGCATTTGATAAGATTTGCCCCTGTTTTCTCTTTAAAGGCTCAAAACAACCAAAATAGCTAGGAAATGGGAGTCCCATCACTCCCATTTTACAGGTTAAAAAAAAAGAGAGACTTTCAGCGAGGTTAAGGAAGTGGCCAAAATAGCACATACAGCCAGTTAAATTCCTGTATTGTCCCCTCCCCTTTTATTGACATCATTGAATTGTGATGAGGCAACCACTGATGCCATTAACCAGGGGGGGTCTATCCTTGGCCTCCAAGAGCTCATTTCCCTGTTAAGTTCCTAACTTATTGGTGGGTTTGGGAGACTTGGCTTAGCACTAATGGAACCTCAACACTAAAGATTTGTACACATCTTTATGTTGTGGAGGTTATGTGTTCTAGTGGCATCTCATTTTGCAAGAAAAAAAGTGTATCATTCCCAGAATGAGAGAGTGATAGGTTTTCTACCACAATAAAGAAAAGAACATAGCCCTTACACCTCAGAAGTGACCAGAAGTCCTCTGGCCTCTACCTCTCAATTTCCAGTACCTGACCCTTCTCCTTCTCAACATCACCATCATTCTCTCCCACCACAGCCTAGCTAGCTCCTTCCACAGGGACAAAGCACTCACAGCTCAGACTAGATTTCACAGTCCCACCAGCTAAGAGGAAGGTATCTTCCCTTGGTGCTAATCCCAAAGTTCCCAAATACTAATTAGCCCAGCTTGAGGCAATAAGCCCAGCCACAAAGCCAGAACCCCACCATGAAAGGAATAACAGTTGCTCCAAATTACTGGGGTGCTGTTCCCCAAAGTAAAAAGGTAGGAGGCCAAACCATTAACTATCTACCACATAGTTGATACTTATTGATCAAGTCTTTGAAAATTATGTTTCCTTCCTTGAATTCATATGGCCCCTTATATCACTCATCAGGAGTATATCACATGCTGCTACCGCTTCCTGAGCGTGTTGTCTCTCCTCTGACTGTAGGTGATCTTAGAATAATTCCTTAACCTTTCCTAACCTCAGTCCTCACTTAAATAGGGATTATTATAACACCTATCTCATAAATTGTTGGGAGGATTAAAATACATAGTACAGTACCAACGGATAGAAAGGCATTCAATAAATGTTACTATTCAGATTATTGCCATCCCTACCCTATTTCTCATCATTATTATTCTCCTGTAAAACAGAAATTTAAACAGTTTAAATCTTTGATCACCACTGTATCTGAAGAATCCTGGGGCAAGATGTATGGAGTAATTTGTTCTTGAAACATACAAAAGGTTTATGAGCTAAAGAAATCTCTTCAAAAGCTGCCCCCAAATTTGTCAAGTTAATTCCAACAAATTTGTCATGGAGCTAAAGAATGGAACCTGAGCAGGCCCCACAGACAAGAGATGCTTTGCCATAATTGCTCTCTGGTAAAATGAGAAGGTAGGATTAGATGGGTGTTTCCCAAAGGGTTTTCCTCAGAACATGAATACCTTGCAAATGTTACACAAAGCAAAAATTTCAAGGCCAAGCAACTTTTAAAAGTCCTGTGTGCTCTGTCCTATTCTTGGAGCTTCACAGTGAGTATTTCCATATTAAAAACTCCAGGAAGTCCTGCAGAAAAGATGTCAATCCAACTTTTTTTTTTTTTTTTTTTTTTGAGTTGGTTCTTTGCAACCTAAACTCACAGGACCTGTCTGTTTAGGGAAAAGAATCACACTAGCTTTGTGGCAATAGCTGGTGACAGTTTCTCTCCCTTGTCTGTCCTCAGTGGGCTAGTTCTGGGATAAATGTATTTTCCTGATTCTAAGGGGCTGGTTACCATGTCATGCTAAGCTCCAAGCTTCTCTGCAAAGTGGTTCCTAATGAAGGGAGCTCTGTTCCCCCAGAGATGCCTTTCAGCCTGCTCTGAGTCTCCAGGGAAAGGCATCTCACTGAGAATTCTTGGCATGAAATAGGAGCAACTGATACATCCGTCCCTCCCCTTGGGACTTCTTTGCTCTCAAAAAGGTGCCAACCACCATCTTCATGTAGTGAATACACTAGCTGACTCAGATAGCATTTCTCAAAAAAGAATTTGGTATAAAAAAGCAATAAAACACTTCATACCCTATCCATCTTCTTGTAAATTTACAAGGCAGATTAGCATGAGAAGCTTCACAGGAAAGAAACCTATTTAACTCTAACTCAGCATTTCCAAACTTTCTTGGACTTTGGGGCCCTTTTCCAAAACACCTATTAACAGATCAAGGGTAGTAATATTCCTTGGAATTCCTTAGATTTCTGGGTAGATTGTTCCTGGTTGCATCTTTTTATGATTCATTTTTTTCACTTATGAGGCATTAAAACATTAAGGTCTATCCGGCTTCCACTTAGGAACTTATCAGAATATGCAACAGGGAACAGGTTAAATGGCCCAATTTAAAAAAAAAAAAAAAAAAAAAAAAAAAGCCCTTGAGTGATTTGGAGACTCACAGGACCTTGAATGGTTGATACTTAGATATAATTTCTTTTGATTTGTTCTGATCTTCCACACTTCCACCACCCCTGCACCCCTAGCTGGCAAGAAACTCTGCTGCACACATTTAGCCCACGGTAATTACAGATGCCTATGGAGTCAGGCCCCTTCTGTGCACACAGGGAGTGCTAAAAACATGCTGTTGACTCACTGAGTCTAAGAGCAGAAGAAATGCCAAAAGTACAGGATGAGAGGCAGAAAAGCAGGTGGAAAAATGTCACAGGGCAGTTCTAAGGAAGTGCCAGTTCCCTTTTTAGTCTACCCAAACATCTTATGAGGTGGGCAAAGACCATTCTATTATTTCTTCTAAAATACTTGCTTCCATGAAGACTTCTATGGCCCCAACAAATGACAGGACTATAGTAATTCCAACAGAACTTGCTGCTTCTCTACTTCCTTCACTGTAAGGCCACCAAGGGAACATTCATGTGATGGAAAGGTGCGTGTCACACGTGTACTATGTAAAAGTGAGTGCATTTCTCACTGGCATCCTATATCTCAAGCTCCAATGCTTTGTTTTCCATCGGTGACTACCTGTATGACAACAGACACGCTACTTACCTCTCTAAAACTCGTTTTCTGAAATTTCTGAGAAATTCTGCAATATCTCAGTATTACTACATAATGCAAAATGGACATAATGTTCCCTATCTCATAGGGATTGTTGCTCATACTTGAAGAGCTAATATGTGGAAATTGTCTAGTACTGTGCCTGGCTTGGAAAGATTTAATAAGTGCTTGCTGCAATACTTCTGATGATTAGTATTACTGTCACTAAAATAGTAACTATTGCTATTATTACTATAATAATCATGATTCTTATTCTTTCTGTCAGATAGTGTTGTCTTTGAAGGCAGGAATGGGCTGTGTTTGATCAACTTTCTCCACACACTATCTAGCAGATCATATGCAAATTGGGGAACCAGAATTGTTAAGGGTGAAAAAAAAAATCTCTACTGATCTTTAAGTCCTTTGTAAGTAACTTTGCAAAGGAGCCATCAGCCCAACACATGAATTTTAAAAAAAAGCAAAAACTATTTCCTGTGGAGTTTGTTTTTGGAGGTAACCACAGGAATAAGTGCCATTTGTGAATCTCCAATGCGAGCACAAGAAGTTGATGGGCAAAACTAATGCAGGCATGGTTTCTTGACTCCTGCACACACTAGCCCTAACTGAAAAGCATTTGATATTGACTCACTTGTAAAAATTGGGTTCTTTGGATAGTGAAAGGCTGCATTTTAATTCAAATTTAACCTAAAAACAATAGGCCTCTGATCTGCCACAGGTGAAGATTAAATTTCCAGGTGTCCCCCACAACACCTAGATACATCAACAATACATAGTACCAGATTATTTAAAACGTAAGAAATAGACTTATCAAAGTTCTTCATTTTATAAAAGGCAAAAAAAAATTACTTTTCTAACAGAATCTCTATACTTTTTTTAATAGCTAAATTTTGTTTCTAAAGATTTCAGTAGGGAACCCAATTTAGATTTTTCTAAAAAGCAATTATAGTTTCCAGTTTCATTTAAAGTTTATTCCATTAGCCATTTGCAATCTTACCCTACATGGAACTTTTCATTGGTGCTTTTACGTTTGGATT